TGCACCCAAATGGATTTGCCCATTAGGCCGATGTCAGACTTTGCGAATCGCGCGATTCGCTAGCGTCTGCGGTCGCGTCGCGGCCAGTGAATCACTCAATTGGCTGGTACCGCAACGCGACCGCGGACGCTAGCGAATCGCGCGATTCGCAAAGTCTGACATCGGCCTTAAACAAGCTTAGCTCATTCAGTGCGATCCTGCCAATCGAGTGATGTGCCTTTCAACTTTGGTAAACAACAACACGAAGAAGTCTTTTTTTCTACAAAAACCCCGTTTTCAGGACTGGATCGAATGCCGGCGGTCTTTCGAGTACATCGCTTTGGAGCTCCCACCGAAGTCGACGCCGACGATATTCTGGCTGACGTCGAGTGCGAGTACGTCGACGGGAACTGGGCGATCCGAAACAAGCGGGGCGAGATGCGCACCGTCGACGTCAGTGAGAAGTGCGTTCAGATCTTCAGCGACCTTGCGATGCTGATCATCGAGCGGAACCTTTAAGAGCCGCCAACTGGCCACGCAGATCCTTTTAAGGGTATTACTGATTGAAGTTGCTGTCAAATTCCGACTATTTTATAGTATTCTTTACAGCTTGCTAATTGCTCAATGTATGTGATTTATTTATAGGGTATATTAGTAGGGTATATTATTTTGTTCTAAGCGCTATAATAAATATAATAATTGATAACATAGATAAGTTTTCTTTGTATTTGGCACTATTTGAGGCCTTGACGTTCCCCTTCATTTGATTATTTCCTTCAGATTGTGCTAGTTAGAAATTGAGGGTCTTTGTGTTCTTCAGTGTTGATCTCCGCCGTTGTTTGCCGTAATAAATTATTGAGAAGATGTAAACGTCATTTTATTGATTGTCTGTTGTTATGAGGTAACTGAGAACTTGATAAGCCATGCGCTTGACTTTCATTCAGAATCGTTTAGGCGATTGAATGCCTCAGTAGTCTATGCAATAACTCACAGGTACAAGGAGGTATTCAACTAACAGTCTAATCAGCCATATGAGTCCAGTACAAGTCATTTTTAAACGCAATTGGTGACCCAAGTGTTGGATGGGATTCATTTTCAATGCCCTAATAGGTGCTGTGGCGCCTCTACCCATTTCGTCAGCTACATCCAGCCGATCTCCGTTCTCTCAATCGGGCATCAGCTATTGTGGCGTCATAGCAGCATAGAGTCTGACTCACTGCGTCAAGCTCACGCCAAAAATGCATCACTGCTGCTGATAAGCCCGATTTTCAACTTGGCATAAAAGAGTCGATAAGAGCGATGGCGTAATCGTCCTAGCAGAGCTAACGCTTTCAACATTCTGGTCTTTTTTTCCTAATTTCTTTTCTATACAGACGTTTGTCTCATATCAATGTTCACATAGCTTATTTGTAGTTCCCATATATAGGAAATAAGTTGGATAAACTCAATAAACTCTTGTGTTTTATTATTGTGTAACAGCAAGGGTGGGTACTGCAGCATTTGCTGAGGAATGTCGGTAATCTGTGATAACCTGAGAATTTGTGAAAGGTGAACATAGGTAATTCAGAAGACGAGAACTTCTTGACATAGTCGACTATCATTCATCCATTTTAGCTACGAAAACAATTCACTAGTAGATATTAATAGGACCTAAAGTACCACTAACCTTTACTTTTATCTTTTACGCAGAGACAACCTCTAGAAAACCCTCCTATCGCCTACGATTGTCCACTTACTGTTTTGCTTTCGAGCCCCATACGGGAAGTTTCTAAGAAAATAGAGAGAAACCGCTAAGGTTTTGGCCCAAAGTAAGCCACCTGGCAAAAAACAGTGGCACCTGAACACTCCTTTAAGTGCTACCCGCTCAGCTGGTCTCCAAACTTTTCAGTTACCAGATTTTAGTAATGCATCCATCCAAAACAATCGCTTACTTTACCCTGAAAGAAATATTCGTTGAGCGAGAGAGGGGTTGGTGATAAGGGGGGGGGCTGAATGTAGATTTATGTATTCTACATTCAGGCCCCCTCCTTATTATTATTATTAATAAAATCAGTACAAAGTCCGAAATAGGCGCCAATACCTCAAAAGGGTGTAGAGGAAATATGAAAAACCCACCACAGATCCTTTCAAAAATTTCCTTTACCTCAACACAATCCCATTTCTATAACGGAAGCTAATTCCAACCAATACAACCCTCCGCCTCACCCCTCCCCCGCCAAAAGCCGAGTATGTGTTTCACTGTGCACGGGAAGGCTAGTCCTTAGCACATCTTACTGGGTACTTCCTTGATATCATTATGACGCACTAGTAGGATATTTATTTCTGAAGTGAAATATCACTGCATTTCATCGGTCCTCTTGAATAAGTGAAGGACGTCGAGTTCGATTCCCCTTCAAAGTTTGGAATCTTCCAACTGATCCATGGAGAAACATTGGCATAGCGCCGTGAAGAAAATACATTAATATTTGGAATTAATATCCCATCGGAAGAATCCTAGCATAAATCATAAATCTGCTGTTTTATTAAACAATGCAGACATTATGTTCTGCATAAGCATTCGAAAAATTCATAACAATTCATTATTACAATATATCGATCACTGCTTTCACATCGGAGAGATGTGCAGATCTTCTCGTGTAATTTCTGGCTATATTTGCCCCGGTGAGTTTTTCAAGGGAACTCAATTATTCAGTGGTAAAACTTACAAGAAGAAACAAAATTTTTGTATTTCGGATATTTAGAGGCCCTCTCCAATATTCAAAAACGTTGCAGCTATATTCACTGAAAACTTAAAGGAATCTTGCGCGGAAAAATCATGATTCTATTTCAGCCATAAATCACTGGCTTTGAGACTCATTATCCACGATAATAGTGAAAAGAACTGAAGTATTGCTTTCGTTTTGATTAGAAATTCGAAAACTCGAAAAGGCTGCTACGCGTTCGAATTGCCCACGGACGTCTTTCACGAATGCTGGCGACGGGGATGCTCAAACTTGGTTCTTGGAGTGCATTCACTAGAAGCTCTTTCTGGCCTTCTGCTTCGTTGCATTCACATCTTACACTTCTACTCCATCCTATTCCATCGATCGATTTGTCTCCACTCTCCGAAATCGCGCGCTTTAACCCGATTCTCTCATTGCGTCGCCTGGTACGTAGCCGGCCAAACGCCGTCTTCTTTCCATGCCTCGCCTGGCTCTGCCTCCTGGTCCTTCGATGGTCCATAACGTGTAGTTTTTGTACGTTTGTTTCTCTTCAGAAACCGAATCTTCATGCGTGAAACTTTGTGTGCTATTTCCAGTGATCACAACTGACATATTCATGTTAGGAAAGAGTGCAAGAATTTTCCGCGCAAGATTCCTTTAACCTAGAGGTGCGAACATGGTCTGACTAGAAAGAAAAAATAAGAGCAGCCCTTAATTTAAAGCGACGTTTGTACTTCTGGGCTATGGAGCAATTACCTCCATAAAGGCTAGACTGGCGAGATAAGAGATATATAGAGAGGCTGGAGGAAAAGAGAAAAGAAACTGGGGAAAAAGCAAGTGAATGAAGCAAGACATGTGTGCTTGGCTGTCACGACTCGTGAGCGATCCTGAGGCCTTAGCGCGATACCCGCAGAAGGCCTATGCGCGGCAAGAAGGGCAGCGCAGAATCGCGCGTACAAATGTTCGATGTAGAAAGGCAGAGTTCACGATGAAAAGGCAGCCCATTAGATCAGGTTAGAGGTGCAGTGGTGCCGGGCGAAAGACAAAAACCATGGCAAACGGCCCAGATCCCGAGGATTCTTTCTTTGACTGTGAATTTCGCATTCGTACAACTCTCATTGCTACTGCCCTCTCCAACATTGACTATCTCTCTACGAAACGGCTAGAGTCAGACGGCGAGAGGGTGGGCGGCAAGGCAGCGGCGCGGGTGATGCGGATGTCGCGCACTAAACAGCTGGGGCATGCTCTCTGCCACAAAACGCGCATCGTCTAGAGTCTTGGGGACGCGCCTGCTTAGGCTAGATCTTTCTCTTTCAGGCCTTCGATCATAATTCGGCATCCTCTAAATTCGGGTAATTATACAAGACCTTTGCTTCGAACCTGATAGCTACACAAGTTGCTATGCGTGAGCGTCAATTTTTTAAGCGCTCAGAGTTTGGTCGCCTCAGGAATTTGAACCTTACGAAATCCAAAGTGATATTTCAGTGCGTGGGCGCAGCTTTGTGAATGTGATTTTTATGATTTCAGCCGCTGGCAGTGCTGTTGGATCGCGGCTGTCGTAGGTCGTTCTGGATAAACTGCTTGCTGACGCTGTTGGGTTTCATCCCGGGTGTGATTCACGCCCTAGCGGTGATTCTCAGCAAAAAGCATACTCATCGTTATGGCGACGATCATCATCATCACCACCACCATCATGACCATCACAGCCATCACAACCACTGTGATGATGTGGTCATCGAGAGCAGCAGAGTTCAGTACGTGACACCGGTGGTGATCGAAGGTCATCATCACCACCAAGACGTGATCGTTACCCGACCAGAATACCTCACACAAGGAGTGTCACCTACCCGCCACCAATGTATCCCTCAGTTAAAGAAGTTCACTAAAAGATTTTGTCCTTGTAACTTCTGCACTGCTTCTTAGCTAGGTAAGGTCTCCTCCATGGGACGAGTGTTCTTCCTTTTTTGCATCTGATCCTTTTTCTCACTCCTTACAAGCTAAACTTATCTGAGGCGTAGTGCAGCAGTGAATATTTCCCGCGAGGGTTAAGTTCGGCGTCACAGAAAATGTTCTCACACAAATTCCTTTTCCCCTTTGCTACCTGGCCAGTTGCTTTCCCTCCTTTAAAAATTCCATACCCGAAGAGCAGTAAAGAAAAGGGGAATAACAAGGGCTGAAGTGCCATGCACTACATGCATGCACTACATATCTATAACACACTATGACTGAACGTAAACTGTCTCAAATAGTGGTGCCCTGATATTACTAACAATAGTTTCTTAAGTCCGTTCAAGACAGGGAACATAAGTGACGATCCTTTTTGAGCCCTTCCTGCAAAGCTCCTCACCTCCCATCGACGGCCGGGGAGGCCGAACTCATAGATGACCATGATTCACGCGCCCTCAGGTTAGCAGTTCATACAAACCGTAAGGCCCTGTGACAGTTGATTCTTCAGGATTTTTATGAGCTTCTCATTCCAATATGCTTATGTGCATTTATATTCAGTCCTCCAGTGAATTCGCCAGTTTCCTTATAGCGAGGCTTCGTAATTATTTCGGCTTGAAATTTGATTTTTTCGTGAGTCGCTTACTATTTTGACAAGATCTGTATGATTTCTCAAAGTGTCGAGGATTTTTATACCCCACAGCAAGTGGTGTGTACTGTCTCTACTTTGGGCTTGAAAGCTTGTTTTTTCGTCACGCGAGTATATAAAATGGTACCGCTTTTTTTGTCACCAGTTATAAAATGGTACGATAAAAATTGAAAAAGGTTTTTTGTACGAACAGGTGGATGTTTTGTTTGTTTATTTGGTTTCAAACAATAATCCCGACCAAACTGGTGGGGTTAAGCGATCGATATTGAAACTGTGGATGCTGAGTTAACTGGAAATGAGAAGAATAAGCCAGGTGAACCGCTGATGGAGCCCTTAAACAAGGGCTCTTTTTTCTACCTCGCTATAATGAAAGAGGGGCGTTCCGGACGAGTTATCTGAACTTGTTCGTTCCATGGCCACACTATAAACGAACGCTATTTTGTCAGTGGCAACGTACTGCTGGGCGGAGCGCAGGTGGAGGCAGAGCACACAAAGGATTCGCAGCATCATGCAATACAACTAGCACACCTTTGGCTGTGGAAAAGTAACGTCTTGACTTTTTCGACCCCGGCTACTTCTTCTGCTGGTGCACGTACTTTCATACTTCGCACACACTTCATCGTAGTTTCTCGCTTGAAACGACGAAAAATAAGCCTGAGCTGATAAGATGCTACGCAATAGTCAAAAGGTCGCCTTTTGTTTGCCGCTAACCAGGAAACGGTCGCGATAAAGACATTCAGCACCCATGTGGGATTATCAGGTTGGACAGCAGACGCTGTCCAAATGAGTCATTTACGGATTGAATCCCTATTAGGTTGGATGATTCTACATGAATCCCATTTAGACTGGATGACACTACTGTGTAACGGGCCAGATGGTAGGATACTATTTGTATGGATGTACTCATTGTTGAGACTGTTGGTGAATGCGTGGCGTATCCCAGAATGGATTGGAACACAACACTTTATACAACTGATTACTGAAAAAAAGCCACAAAGATTTATCAGACATACTGTTCAGGAGACACTGTAGAAGGCTTTGCCGTAGGTAACCTGCCAAACAGATTGTTGGGCTCCGCAAAGTCGACCAGCTTAACCCGTGCCAGGGCGGTTTAGGACAGAACCCTTATGCTCAACTGTAGAGCCATAATTAGGCCGAAATACTGCGTGGCGTCGATCAATATTGCCAGGCTTTCAATTTTACCTCAGTTTTCAGTGACATATTTGTCATTGAATTATGGTGACACTATCCTGAATTATGTAAGGGCAGCGCTCTGCCTTGTAAAGACGAGGTTAGAGTTCGACGCCAGGTCGAGACCAAGTTTTCAGTGTGCCCTTGTGACCACTTTTGTACTTTTACGTACTTCCACGAACCGAGGCCCAAACAGCATTAGCCTCGCGCCGACCAAACCAAAACGTTGCTGACTTGGTTTATTTATGATTTGATAACTACAATAAATACAATATTACACAAAATGGGAGCTTAAGCCCGGCCGAACAATGCTCTTTTGAGTTTCCTCGACTCGCTCTTGGCATTCAACGGCACGTCCTTGAACCGACAATGGGTGGTCAACGCGGCGACACATGGCTCAGTCATCCACAGGTACCTTTAATGAGCAAGCTAATCGTCAGAGAGACTTCTCAGAAAATTGACTTTGAACTGCACTCACCATTCATTTTCGGTCTGGTCACGGTATTTTCCATAGGTGTAGGTATTTTTGCATTTGGTCCGTTGTCATATGGCACCTTGTGCATCACATGAAGGACTGATAAACCGTGAGAAAGTTCAGCCAAAGGAAATCCATCTACCCACCGATAGATCGAATGTCGGCTCAAGCCGATCGGCACGCTAGTCGAGTCGTGGAGTTACGGGCAAGTTCATTCCACGACTTTTGTGGCATTGGCTCACGTCGGCACCTAAAACGATGGCAAAGGTGACAACAGGAAAAACGGACTACAGAGATTACAGTCTCAAATGAATAAAATACGAATAGTATTATAGTTAATAAATGAATTTTAGACAGTGAGGTATATAGCTGAGAAATCGAGCGCGCGTTGAGTAGGATGCCATACTGCTGGACATAGTAACCTGACGGTTGTGCGAGAAGTTAATTCATGAAGGTTATAGTATTTCTGAGCCGATGTCGCGTCAAAGCGATTCGCTAGCGCTCGCGGTCGCGTCGTTGTACAAGCAAATCGAGCCTTAATTCTACGCGACGTCTACCGCGAACACTAACGAATCGCTCGACTGCGGCCAAAGTCTGACATCGGCAATCGCTACACTCAGCCAAGATATCAACGCAGTGTGTCCGGCTTTGGAATTTAGCAGCATGTACAGTATTTTGCTCCAATCAATGGTGAAAAAATAAATTCAATGATGGGTAGCGCGTGAAATCAACTAATAATAAACGTAACAAAGGTGCAAATTTAAAGGGCACATTCCCAAGCAAGTAGTGTGCACGATCCCTCGGTCTGAAGGAAACACAATGTGGGACTCCTTGAGTGGAATTTAACCGACAAGAGCGCTAGGGCCTTGCAAAGTGAGCTGCTGAGCTGCAATTTCTTTTTTCTCTTATCAGGCTGTTGTCTGGTGCTCTCTCATCTGTAGCGCTCTCTCGCCTCCCATACTCTCCTCTCCGCGCTTAGTCTCTCATTCCTTAGCACAGCCGATTAGGAAGGTGAGTAAGCCCTTAACCTAAGCGTTTTGACGGGATCTTTTCTTTTTCACTCTCACTGCGGCCTATTTTCCATTGAAACATTTGTCTTTTTCCCCCCCCCCCCCCCCCCCCCATCCCCAATTCCCCCTCCCCCCCCCCATTTTCTCCTGGCAAGAAACCCACAAACAGTTTTGATTACTGAGAATGCAGATTCAGTAATTGATGGCAGAAAACTCACTTGAATTCTTTGAGATCTCGTGGTGGATTTGAAGTCCGTGAATGTAGCAAAGCAGTATCTGTTTGGCCACTTGACAAACAGTCCACCGTGCGCTTTTCTGGAATGTTTGAAGTTTTAAAATGCTGTTAAAATGTTGGCTTTTGTTGAACATTTCCTATTAGGAAGGTTGAAGGTTTTGAAGGGAAGCATTGCCAGAATCCAATCTTATACCAGCTAGGTTCGTCGCTCTCACAGAGCAAAGGTTGTATAATGGGAACTGTTTTTCTTTCAGTGTACACTTTGGACTCTTGTGGTTGACGTCGAAGATTTTAGACGATTTCAATGGCGCATAGGTTGCAGGATCGCACTAATGTAATCTTTAGGACGCAACCAGGCAAAAGTCAGGTGAACGATTCCCTTTGGTTTGTAGGATAACCTTTTGGAGACAATCATGTGCCAAGGATAAAGGATCAAGGATGTCGCACACCAATTACCGACAAGAACGCTAGGGCTGCAAAGTAAGCTGCAGCAGCTGCAACTTTGTTCTTTATCAGGTGCGTTTGCAGCGATCTGTTGCGCTCTCTCGCCTTCATACCTTCTCTCTGCGGTCGTCTATAATATGCTTCAAAGAAGAATTTCAGACTCAAAATGAAAGGTCGAAGAGGGAGCATTCAGCTAGATTGGAGGGACCGTAGACCCTGAGGGTGCAGATGACGCGCAATTGCCTGAAAGATTTGATGAGCGACTTAGTCAATTAATCGCGAATTAAACTTTTAATTGTTTCCGTGATATAGTAAAGATGGACTTGATAATCAATACTGCGCAAGTGAGAGCGATATGTTGGAGCGAGGTCAGCAGCTCAGCATACCAATTAAAGGCACAACCCAGGCAGAGGTCGTGTGAACTCAGATCTTCGGTCAGAAGTATAGAACCCTAGGGGACAATCACAAATGTGGCGTTCACGTGCACGGAATTCGACCGACAAGAACGCTTTGGGCTTGCAAAGTAAGCTGCTCGAGCTGCAGCGAACGAGCTCTCTTATCAGGCCGTTGTCTGGTGCTCTCTCATCTGATGCGCTCTCTCGCCCCATACTCTCCTCTTCGCGCTTAGTCTCTCGTTCCTTTAGCACAGCCAATTAGGAAGGTGAGTGAGCCCTCAACCTGAGCGTTTTCGACGGATTCTTTTCCTTTTTTCTTCACTGCCGGCCCACTTGGCACCGATACATTCACATTCGTGTGCAAGAGCCACACCAGTGCGATCCTGGGGCATGCCTTTAAGAAGGTTACCGAGGCCAGGTCATGGTGGTGGTGGAAGAAACACGGCGAAGAGGTGTGAAAGGTCATCTACTAAGTTCCGCTCCGCGACCTATTGAGGCTCAATCTGGAGCGATGGGCCAGGACACGCCCACTGATCATGTGATCAGTCGCCGCAGGTCTATACGTGGGGAGTGATTAGATAGGTGAGAGCGTAGTGTTGGAGAGGGCACAGCGATGAGAGTCGCATCAATGATCAAATCAACGGGCTAGTAAGAGGTCTCATTGCTCGGGTTCTAGGCCGTTTCTCATGTTTTTCCTTCTTTAGTGTACCCATTACCGGCCATTTCACACAATCTTTTGTATTCTGGGTTAAAGAAGCCAAACAAATGGGGTACTGAAGGTTACCGTCGAGCATGTGAGTCATGTAGCAATTGGGACTGGTTTACCCTTTACTGGCCCCCACTCTATAAAATAGAGCCCGGCAGTTTCAATCGAAACTTTTCCATGACTAAGGGTTTGGCTACAAAGTCATTTCTAAGGGTGTTTAAACCCGTAGAACACGAACACCACATCAGTTTGACACGGACACGCATGGCGCTCGCGCACAAAACGTGGCTATGGCGCATCAGGTTTCGCGGGCCGCTAGAGCAGGCTACAGACGCTCGCAAGAACCAGGTGTTGATGTTCCTGTTTTAAGGTCACAGTGCCCATAACGACAAGCTTTCAAGCGAGGTTTCGGTTTATACAAAAGGTGTCCCCCTAGGGCGCCTAGGAAGAGTCGCAGCGCGTACTGTTGCGGTTAGGCGTCAGGTCAACTAGGCTATACCACACCACGTCTATATCGCACAGCTTACGCTGCGACTCGTCCCTTGCCGAATCTGCTCCTTCTTCTTCGCTGCGCGACGGGCCTCTTTGGGACACTCGATCAAAAGTGTTCTGGAGCCATTTAGCGCGGCAACTTATTTCGACAGGCGCCAGGTGTTTTGCACGTCGAACGAATGTGTAGTTGTCGTTCTGGAGTCGAACTAATCTAAGGACAACTTGCTAGCAAAGCTTATCTATTGGAAAAAACTTCGTCAGAATCAGTTGAGGTTATCGGAGGAGTAGGCGGTTGTAGATGGTCAATAGTACCTGTAACCTGAATCGATTAGAGATTACGGGGGAGGAAGGATGGGGAGGGTCACCATTACCTCTCCTTAAATCCAAACAAGCTTGCCTAGATGTGTAGACTCCAATGTGGAAACAGTCAGTGCCATCAAACTTGTTGGACAATCCATCAATCAAACAGTAGCGAGTCATGGTATAGTCATAAAGAAAAACCTGATATGGAGCTATACAAGAGCAACGCTGCAATGGTATAATGTCTGGCCTAGGTAAGCAACCAGATAGCCCCCTCGGCTACGACGGCAAGAAACCCATAGGTTCGCGTCCCAGGATGAACATGAAACGCTTTGGCTCCTTCCTACATACCTGGGAGCGAAGGTAACGATTCGTGCAGCTTGGAAAAAGCAGTTCAGCATTTGGTGAGAAATGTCATGAAGCTGGGAAGGGGCTTTATCGAACTTTCGGTATTCAGCTTCCAAAGACTTACCCCAGCGGTTCCATGTGAAATTCGTCGCCTGAATGTACCAAAGCAACAGCAGCGAAGAGGATTAAAAGCATGACAGGCTGTTCTGGAAGAGAAAGTACAAAAGTTTTTTTTTCAATCTAAAGCGTGAATAATCAACACAATCGTTGAGTAGGAGAAGAAAATTCTCGGTAGAATAGGAGCGCTCGATTTCCAGCAACTTTTTTCTGCTGAAAAGCTTAATCAGTGTAAAGTGTTCAGCAGTTGAAGCGATGGGCGAGGAGAGACTAGTTTGGAAGGGCAGATCAAAAGACAGTGCGCCAAAGACAACGCCGAATGATATTTGGTTGGTGGCGGCCAAGTCGAGATTTCAGGCGTTGACCAAAACGAGTCTGAAACTCGTTTCAGCGTCATAAAGCTTGTGTAATCGGCTCTATTCATTAATAAGCCTACATGCGTCGCTATCAGGTTCTTATGTCCAGCTACAGTAGTCTCTAGAAGCAGTTGCGGCAGCTTAAAACAACGTTGGAAAGCTGAAAGAACATTTAGATAGACAATTTGCTTGTTGCGTTCAAGGACGGTTTCTCGGAGTTTTGAGCGACAAAGAAAGGTCAGTAGATCACTTATTAGTGTAAACAATATGTTAGAAGTCTTCCTAGCTATATTTTTAGAAAGAGGTAAAACTGCTGGCTCGCATTGGGGTTGACCCCTCCGACCTTCTTGCCCGTGAGTCAGGATCAGTACCGCTGCATTTCCTATTCTAAAACATCTGTTAGGAAATTGTTCCACAATAGCGAAACCAGAGGTCGTGTGGGTAGGTCGTAGTTTTCCTCCTCTAATGTCAGCGTCAACCTAAGTTCTGAAACACGATTCATTTTGGTACGAGCACAAGCTGAGGACCAA